TGGGGCAGTTTTCAGAGCGCCCACTTGCTCTGGAGCACTTTGCGGAACGCCCAAACACGCACGGCCACTCTGAGCTGGTTGTAAAGTGGTCCGTTCTGGTTGTAAAGTGGCCCGTTCTGGTTGTAAAGTGGTCCGTTCTGGTTGTAAAGTGGGCCGTGCTGGTTGCAAAGTGGACGTTCTCGATGAGGAAACATATTTTCCCATCCTATGTTGGTTGTAAAGTAACCCATCTGGTTGTAAAGTGGTTGTTCTGGTTGTAAAGAGACCGAATCTCGGGGGCGCCCCCTCCCTATGTGGCCAGCCGATCATGTTATTTATCCGAGCGGGTTATCGGAACCCTGTAACTGTCGTCATTTTGGGACTCATATTTAGGAAGTTTGAGGCGGGAGCCTCTCCTGTGAGTGAATGAGCTGGTCGTTGGCAAATATTGCTAATGTCGTGGGCCCTCGCGGCCGAATTAGCGCAGGACACAAGGGCGGTTGATGAGTCGACGACGACGACGACGACGACGACCACGACGACGACGACACAGCGGCCGGGCGCAGGGGTAACCTCTTGAGCGCGGATGCGCCCCGCTCGAATCCTGCGGGGTTGTTCCAACGGCTTGGTGTCGCGCGCCAGCGGCTCGCGGGGCTGTCCGACGACCTAGCCCGCGGGGTTGCCCCAACGGCTGCGCGACGCAGCCATCAGAGAATGCGCCCGCGATGGCCGAAGCGGCGACGGCGCCGAGGAAAACCGACACACGCGCGCCCCTGCCAGGAGGACGGAGAGGTGCACGAGGAGAACAGGCAGGGCGGAGATGATGGGGGGGAAGACGGGGGGGCGAAGGAGGAGGAAGAACACGACGAAGAGGAGGAAGAATACGAGGAGGAGGAGGGGGGGACAGGAGGAGGCGGAGGATGAGGAGGAATAGAGGAGGAGAAGGAGGAGGCGAAAGAGCAAGAGGATAACAAAATGCAGCGAGCAGGACGAGCACGAATAGGAGGAGGACAAGGATGAGAAGGAGGAGGAGGAGGAGGAGGACGCAGAGGGCGGAAGGAACGCCTCCGCCAGTCGAAAAAGAGAAGGGCGAGGGACAAGCTAAATACATTCTCGTGCGGGGTCCTACCGTCGGAGCCATGTCTTCAACATGCTTATTAAATTCGGCCACGCGGGCCCCTCGCGCCGCACGTCAAAGTCGTTCGAACGCCCTTGCGCGCGCGTTTTGGGGGGGGGGGGGAGGGGGGCGCGCGCCTGTCGAACTCCCTCCAAAACCTTCATCGCCGACGCGAGGGCGCCGTCATCGTCACCAGCGTGATCAGCATCGGCCCCGTTACTGGCCTTGCCGTCGTCGTTGTCACCATCGCCACCAGCACCGTTACCATCATCATCGCGTTTGCCGTCGTCGACGTTGCCATGATACCGCGCCTGCCCAAGTCCCCGACGCGCAGTGAAGTGCCCGCTGGGAAGTGCCGAGCGGTCAGCGCCGCCACGGCCGCGTCGGCAGCGCCAAATTGCGCGCGCGAGCATGCGCGGGCTAGCGCGGTGCACCAGCCAACTCCAAGCACTCATCGCAACCGCCGCCGCCGCATGGGTTTTGCAAAACCCAGCTGCGGGTGGGCGAGTGGGGCGATTGCGCGAGCATTGAAATGGACAACTCAACGCGAACAACTTTAATTACACCATATAGACTGCCTTACATATCTTGTACCACGCACTACGATACCACACAATATGTGGGACCCAAGCTCGCGAACATTACATGTTATGTCCGAGTGGGCAGGCCTTTTGGGGAGGCGGCGAGGCTGTTCAGATACTTCCCCGCTTTCTGGGGAGTCGCTTGCGTGTGCGATGAAGGTTCGGGCAACTTATCAGAAGGCCAGAGGCATGTTGAGCCTTCGGGGAAAGTCCTCACCCTCTGCCGTCCCTCTAGGCGCGCCTCCGATCCTCGAGCTGCGACAAGCAAATCACGGCGGCAGCTTGTTGGATATGCGTTTGCTTCTGAGGAGCTGAACAGGGCCCCAGGAGATTGAATGAAGACCGGGGATGCCAAACTGGCCACAGGGAAAAGGTCCATACCTATGTCACCGAATAATTCCGATTGTAGGACCTCACATTCGAATGCCAAAGCGCAATGAGGAAGTTAACCTCATCGGTCGCTGTGTGTGCTGAGGCTCTCTTCCCGTCCCCTCATCGCCTCTTTCCTGCTTGCCTTGGCGGGGCCCTCTTTCCGCCCCTTGCTCTGCGTCCTCCTCGTCTTCCTGCCTTTTCTCTCCTATCCACCTCCCCCCCCCCCGCCCCTTCTAGCAAGGGCGCGTTCGTCCTCCGATGGCCAGATCGCGAAGTTGCTGGGGCAACCCCGCGGACCAGGCCGTTAGGACAGCCCCGCGAGCCGCTGGGGCGCGGGAGCAAACCGTCGGGAAAACTCCGCAGGTCTCGAGCTAGCGTCGGCTGCGCTCAGGCGGGAGGCAGCGCGAAGCCCAACTATGCCGTGAGCTGCTCCACCTCAGCTTTGGAGTTGCCCGTTTTGTTGCCGAATTCCCTGAGCGCCTTCCGAAGGGGAAGTGACGGCCCGCGTTCGAGGAATTCCCGCGTGGGCGGCCGCAGGATCAGCATGTTCAGCATGCTCGCGGCGCGGAGGATTGACGTAGAGGTGCAGCCACCACTGTTCGTCCGACATGCCCGTGCGACCAGCGTTCCTACCCCTGGCGCAGTCGATGGTGGACGCCTTTTGCGCAGCGTTTGACCCTGCGACAACGTGAAATTCGGAGAGGACGCGCGCGTCAGGGTAAGCCCCGAGCATCGCACGACGTGTGGCCCCGAGATCTGCTACGTGACCGTTTGCTCGGTGGGATTGAACATAAGCAAGCTTCTCGCCCGCGCCTCAGCTTCGCCGTCCGTGCGACATGCTCTTCACAGCCCGACGGTTGTTCTTCTTTGCCACGTAGATGTATTGGAAACGTGGGCGTCAAAGCTGCGTCCGTCAAATCCTTACACTGATTATATCCCTATCACAAATTCCTTGCGGATTTCTCATTGACGAACCGCTTGGTTCCCGTTCGATACGTTCTCGCCACCCATTCACACACGAGGCCCCCGCTCGAGACGCCCTTCGTCTTCAAACATCAAAAGCCCGAAAGTGTCAACTGTTATAAGATCCCGAGGACCCTGTCGGATTAGTAACATGAGCTGCGGGCCCCATGAGGAGGGGGCTCCCGCCTTAGATTTCATAGGAATTCACTCACAGACGAAGCCCCTGTTCGATACGCCCTTCATTTTCAAATTTCAAGAACCCAAAAGTAATGAAAGTTCAAAGATCCCGATGGTACGACCGGATTGTTAACATGAATTGCGAGCCCCGTGGGAAGGGGGGTCCAGCCTGAGGTTTTTTTTTCGCAACTCAGTCGAACGAAGTTCCCGCATGGAATTTTTTTCATAGTTGTTCAAGCACGAAGGGGCCAAAAGTAACAACTCCGAGGGGGGTCCGGCGTCCTGTTCGGGTTAGTAACATGAGTTGCGGGCCCCAGAGGGAGGGGGCTCCCGCTTGGAATTTCTTCGAAAGTCACTCGCTGACGACGCTTCCGCCAAAGAGTTCCTCCATACGAACTGAAAACATGAAGACGCAAAAGTGACGAGTGTTGGGGGATCCCGATGGCCCGCCCAGATCAGGAAACTGAGTTGCGGGCCCCAAAGGGAGAGCCCTGCCGCCTGAGATTTCCTCGCAGCTCATTCACAGACGAGGCTCCCGCCCGAGATTTTTTCCATGTTCAAGCTGGTAGAGGCCAAACGCGACGACAGCTACAGTCTCCCGATGACCAGCTCGGAGTAGAATATGAGCTGCGGGCCCCATGGGAAGGGGGGGTCCCGCTTAAGACTTCTTCGAAATCCACTGACAGATGAGGCTCCCGCTCGAGACTTCCTCATGCTGAGATGATAACAGCCGATGACCATGATGGGACGGTGATAGCGATGATGATGATGATGATGATGATGATGTTGATGATGATGATGATGATGATGATGATGATGATAGTGATGCTGGTGATGATGGTGATGATGATTATTATTACTATTCGTATCATTATTATTATGATTATTATTATTCTTCTTAATATTATTATTACTATTAGATTAGTATTATTATTATTAATAATATGATTACTAGTATTATTATTATTGTGAGTGTACGTGTGTGCATGAGTGCGTGTGTGTGAGTGTAGCGGCGATGACGGTGACCATGACGATGTTGGCGATTGTGATGAAAATATTAAAATATTGATGATCATGGCATGATGATGACGAGTGGTTGGATGATGGCTGAATGCGAGTGACTGGGCCAGTGAGGGAGGGAGGGAGGATGATGGTGATGATGCTGATGATGATGAGGATGATGATGATGAGGATGATGGTGATGTTGATGATGTTGATGATGATGATGATGATGATGATGATGATGATGATGATGATGATGATGATGATGATGATGATGATGATGATGGTGATGGTGATGGTGATGGTGGTGATGATGCTGATGATGATGACGATGTTGATGATGGTGATGATGATGATGATCATGATCATGATGATGATGATGATGATCATGATGATGATGATGATCATGATCATGATGATGATGATGCTGATGGGTGTGTGAGTGTCTGTGTGAGTGCATCAGCGCGTGAGTGTGTGAGTGCGTAAGAAAGGGGGGAGGAGGAGGAGATCTTGCGCGGGGGGGGCAGAGAGAGTAAGAATTTGATTTTGGATGTGCGGAACTAGAACACGACGTCGGATGTCAGCGCGCGCACCACCACCATGACTGTTCAAGGCCATCCTGGGCCCTGTGGATGGTGGTTTAGACCCTCCTTGGCGCCGGCCAGCAGTCCGTCCACACCAGGCCAAGGCTACTTCTTGGGCGCGATGGATGATAGACCTTCTTGGGCCCTGGCCAGTAGGCCGCAGGCACCAGGATGGCCCTGGCCAGGCGGTGGTGGTGTCTGTGTAGAGATGCCTTCTGCGCATAGGTTTGGACGTGCCAGTGCGCGACCGACCAGCACGGCGCTGGCTGCTGCCGGGGCCTCTTCCGGGACCCCGCCATGGACCACCTCGAGCAGCTGGCCCTCCCCAGCTCCGACCGCTCCTGCAGCAGCAGGGTGTGCGTGCTCGTGAGCGGCAAGCGGGCCTCTGGGAAGGCCCGCGCACCCTCCGGGCCTCCCAGCTGAAGCCGGAGCAGGTGGGGATGCGGAGGAGCGCGACGGCGTCGCCGACACACCGGCGATGCGGAACGACCGGGAGCCTGTTTTTCTCAATCCCGCCGTCGCCGATGCATCGGAGATGCGGCGCGATTCTCCGCATCCCCATCTGCTCCAGCCTCATCTGAGAGGCCTCCAGCATCAAAGGTCGAGGGGGCCACGGGTCAGAGCAACCCTCCGAGAGGCCCTCGGGGAGCCCCCGCGGAGCCATCGAGGCCCAACACCGAGGCCTTTCCCCACCTGCAAAAGCAGCCCACTTGCTCCTACCCCCAGAGCCCCCCAGAACTCTTCCCGGAGCGAAGAGATCACGACGGACGTTAGTCTATTCATTTCGGCCTTTGGGGGGTTCGGCCTCTTGAGGTATTCACCCATCCCCGAGACCAAAAAATGATTCAGCTCTGGATGAAAAATCAGTCCAGGGGGAAGGTCCAGACGCGTGCGGTCCACATTTTGTGGGAAATGCAAGCGTCGGAGGTCTGGGACAGCAGAACTTCCCCCAGAACCGATCGGAGCACCCAGAAACGATCCTAACTGCTCAGGAGTTGCCGAGAGCCCCCACCCCAGACCTCCGGACACCCAGAGTCAGAGGGCAAAGTCTACCAGCTTCTAGAAGACCAATATCTCGGGCCGATGCCAGATACCGAACGCATTGGGTGTCGTTGCGTATATTGACACATTCGGGTTGATACGCCTATAGACAGTGCAACCGTTGGGTTCGACGCAGTACAAGGTCGGGAAAAGGTAGATCCGTCTACGGTATGTATGTTCCTAGACCTTTGCCATGCAATCGGTGTTTCACCCCGATTCGGGTTCGCAGTCCTGGGACCCCAGCAGGTGCAAGAGCCCTGATTCATGGCCTTTGCTTGCAACCAGGAGGTGGTCTGGGCTCCTCGATTCTCGATCCTATTACGACGTCGTCGACGACGACGACAACGAAAGCCGCCTCACTTCTGACGGCCCGTGGCCTCCGCACTCCAGGCCGCTCTCGAGTCCCAGGACCCTGCTCACGCAGGCTCCTGAATGCGAGTCCACGTTTTCCGCCCCCCGGCCTCCCCATCGCGCTTGTGACGTCTCGTCGCCCCGCGGCGGACCGTGAGGGACCATTCTGAGTAATGGTCTTTCGCTTCAGGCAAGCGTTGGCCGTCCAGACGGCTCGTGCCTACGGTGAGTGTTGGCCTCGGGGCGTGCCCGCGGCTTGGTCCTCAAACAAACAAGAGCCGTGCCACCGGTTGTCCGATCCCCCGCTGCAAGGACCACGTGGCCTCCGCTCTCCAGTCCGCCCTCGAGTCCGAGGGCCTGGCGGTGACGCGCCGCGCGGCCGGGTCGATTAACAAGCGCGCATACGCCGCCGAGGCCGGCGTCGACTTGGAGCGCCTCGAGGCCGACCGGGAGTTCAAGGACTGGGGGACGGGAATCGGGCGGACGGCAACGGGTGGGGGCAGTATTCGACTACACGTAAGAGTGACCCTTCGCCTGAGTGATCTTTGGTGCGGGCCCGATGGGGTCCCCCGATCGCCGAATGCGATGCGATAGCAGCGTCTTGCGCGCTCGGGTTTGGTCCCCCCGCGGCCCCCAAAAAGCCACGCACCAAAGGGCACTCTCACCCAGGGGTCAGTCCTGCGTGTAGCCGAATTACACATGGGTGCATCGAGAATCCCTTAGGAGAGTGGTCCTACAGGGGCCCTGGATGGCCTCTGAACTGCCACCGCGGGCTCAAACGGTGCACAAGAGGTGTACGCTTCTTCGCCTCCGTCTACTGCCCCCCCGTTGGCGAAGCAGAAGATCAGGGGGAGTGAAAGGATCCGAGGGGCAGAAAATCGGAGGAGCAGGAGGTCGTGATAATTCAGGGGAGGAAGCGATACAGATACCGCTACCCCTCCCTCGTCGCCACGGCTGGGCTCGCGGTGCAAGGATCCGAGGGGTAGAATCAAGGACGACGTCAGGTGTGAACGTCAGAGGGGCAACGAGGTTCGAGGTTCGAAGTGTTCGGGCTGTTTCATCGGTTCTCCGCGGTTTTCTGGCCTCGGGATGCTCTCCAGCAGCTGCGCCTCGCCGAGAGGCGTCCCAGGCTCGTCCCGAACGGCCGCCGGAGAGCCGAGGTATGACCCGAAAGCCGGATAGGCTCAGAGAGGGCGCATCGAACCCAATCGCCCATTCATCGTAGTTACTTCAGGGGCCCGATAGCCCACGCCGACGAGGACCGTGTGGTTTCGCTATCGGGGTCTGATTTCCGAGGTGTCGCCGATTCAAGGTCGATGTTCCCACCCTGAGCCAGCCCCCCCCCCGTATCGTCCCCACTCAAGACCGAGGAGCAGGAGGTCATAAGAATTGTGCGTTCCAAGATGTCCGCGGTTTCCCAGGTCTCCTGATGTTCCGCATGGGCTTCAGAAGCTAGGGCGGCTAGATACTTCAGAACTCCTGGAATGCATCCTGAGCCAATCGCATCATGACGTGACCCCTCGTCCTGTAGAAAACGGCATAAGCCTGAACTGTCCGAGGCCCACGCGGACTTCGTGGGTCGACGCTGGGCACTCCCCCTCCTGGCGGCGCCTCGGGGCGCTCCAGGGAAGGAGGGCCCAGCGCCGAGCCGAGGGTTTCTGTTTCTATTGTGGCTGCCCTCCTCTATGAGGAGGCGCACCGCGTTGCGCTGGTGCGGCACCACCAGTCGCGCAACCGCGAGGAGCCCGACGTGAGCGCGAGGGCCCAGACCTTCCCAGACCTTCCCGCCCCGCGACCAAAAAACTCGGCGGGGGGCTCTTGGTCATGTTCGGCCTCCAGAGGCCCTTGCCAGGCTCCGGGCTCCCAGACTGTCAGACGACGCCTCGGAACGAAGACCAGACCCCGGGAGAAAGCTCCAGGCGTCATGGGTCCACGTGGTGAGAAAGCGGGACACGGCGCGGAGGTCTGGGGCGGAAGGGAAGGGGGACGATGAGAGTCGGACGGGGCTGGGACGAGGACAAGTTCCAGAGCGTCCTTGAACGCGTTCAGAGCGTTCCTGAACGCTCTGAGAAGGCCACGGCGCTCGAGACATTCGCCAGTTCCGCCGGAGATCAGAGATTCTCGATTATCTTCATCCGATGTTATCCTCGTCCTGGCTTCGTCTTAGAGCGGGAGTGAGAGGAGGAGGCGTTGCTGGCGGAGCGCCGCGCTCACCAGGAGCGCCAAAGGCTGGCACGCGGAAGCGAAGACTGGGGGCTGCAGTTCCCGCTGCCAGAGGGGCGACGAAGAGGAGGAGGCCGAGGCGGGGGTCAGCCACGCGCAAGGGGGGGGAGGGGGAGGGGGGAGGGCTTCTTTGAAGCACCCCTGCTTAGAAGGCGCGTGTCTATAGATGTAGGGCTGGCGCCTCCTAAGAAGCAGCCTCCTCCTAGGGAGCCTGCCCCCCTCGATACCCCCTTATGCGCGCCGCCAAGGGGGAGGAGAGGGAGGGGATGAGGTTTTTGGACACTGGAAACTGGATTAGCCCACCTCTGGAGAGGCAGCTGCCGAAGAACGGGTGAAGCGCAAAGGGCGAGGGCGCGTCTGTTGCGCGTTCCCGTCCGTAGCGGCTGTCGCAGCGGACATCACGCATAAGGATGCGGTAAAGGGTGGTACCCCGAACACGTGCCAACCCATCCGAACACCAAAAGGTTATTGCCACCACCACCGTCATTACCTTACTCACAATTGCATTGCAAAGCTGTGCCACCAATGAGCGCACGGGCTGGTGCAAAACCAGCCTCACACTCAGCATGCATGTCAAAGGTGCGGGAGCGACGCGAGCATGGGGCCCACGACAGTCAAATCACCATTCATGATGAAGGCGGAGGGCGGAGGGAGCTACAGGTCCCAATGATACATCGCAATTGGAATCAATTCCCCCCAACAGGCGCCCCAATCGGTCCCTCTCCGTCCGAGAAGCCGCTTTTCGCAAACATTGGCGTGGCAAGTGTGAGACATTTGTAGACGACCGCGGTCCACAAGGTTTGCAAAATGTGCAATCACGGGCTCCCTTCGATCGCAATGTGCCGCGTACCGTGCGGGGCGGGACAGGCGGCTCTGGCGAAAGCATTCTTGTGGCGGTTGGGAGGGCCAGCACGCCACATGGCGGAGACGCAGGACACCCTGCCCCTGGACTTTTCCTGGTCGCAGCGGCGAGGGCCCACGCTGCGTTCGCAGACAGCCGAGGGACCCCACTAGGCCTCACTGGGCACGACAGAAGTGGGAGGAGAGTGGACCCTGGCCCCAAGGCAGAGGAGGGGGCGGGGCAGGAGAACGCGGATGGAGGGGAGAAGCCTCTGCCAACCCAGACCTCCGGTGTCGGCATTGTGTCCACAGCGTGGACCCCTGCAGGTTCGGGACCCTCTCCCCTGGGACCAACCTGTCATCCCGAGTCGCTCTTGTGACGGCCCCGGGGCCCGATGAGGGCTCCGAGAGGTCGAAGAGGCGGAACATTGAATCCCGACATGACGGTTGGCACGGCCCGAGACTTAAAGGCCAGCGGCGGCGGCGGCGGCGGCGACGGCGAGGACCCCAATTGGTGCTTGGAGGAGGTCTGGGCCGAGGCCGTGGCGGCCGGGGCGGGCGTGCTGCTGATGCCAGACTTCCGCTCGCTCTCCGACCTCCGTTGGTTCGAACAGCGCTGCGGAGGGGCGGGGCGCTCGCGGCGGGCTCGGCATGCACATCCTCCCCCCTTCCCTCTTTGGCGGCGCGCACAGGGGGGGTAGGGGGAGGGGGGAAGGCTTATTAGAAGCACCCCTGCTTCGTCGAAGGCGCGGGCCTTGTCTGTTGATGAAATGACGGCGCCTTCTAAGAAGCAGCCTCCTTCGAAGAAGTCTTCCCGCCTGCCCCTAACCCCCTTTGTGCGCGCCGCCAACCCTCCCCCGAGGTTCGAGGTCTTCGGCAGGTCCCTGGAGGCTCTTCCAGCTTCAAGATGTTCTCCAGCAGCTGCGCCTCGCAGCGAGCGCGTTGCCCCCGAGGTTCGGCCCCGAGGGCGGAGGAGGGGTGGTGCTGTGGCGAAGCCGTGGGAAGGGAGGGAGAGGCCGAGGAGGAGAGAGGAAGCAGACATGGCAGGATCAGGTGTCAGCTCGCGAGCCTCGCGCGCCGCCTCTGGCGCCCGCTCGAGCGCGCGGAACCCAGACTTCCTCACGTCGCGAAAACTCTTCGAGGATCGAGGCATGATTGGGCCTCGAGGCAGCTTCTCGACGCCAAGGCTGGATTCGCCTAGAGATTCTAGTCAGCACGCACTCCAGGAGAGGCTTAGGGACAGCTCTATACTTCTGAGACCCAGAAATCTTTTCGGTGCAAAAATGTCAACAAGATAATTATTTCTTTGTAAGTTTTCGGCATACTGGGCCTTCACGGGGCCCTGGGACCGTCAAATTATGTGCCCCAGAGAAGCGCGCTAATAGCAGCGAAGGTGAAGAGGCGGGTCGAGGAGTAATCAGGAGGTCGGCGATTAGAAACTTGCATTCCGACGTATTCCTCGGGATTCCCATGAAACGCACGAAGTGCGGTGTACGGCCACGTGCACAGGAGTGTATTCTAACCAGGGATCGTGGCCGTGTGGACTAAAATAGTAGCTGGCAGGGGGGCGAGAGCACTATTCGTGAATAAATGCGTGACGAAGTCTCAAGCGAAACGGCTGGTGGACCGGACGGTGTTGGGCTCCCTGGCCCCCCCTCGGGACTCCTCTCTTGCACTTTTCTACTATCAGAACCCTCCTCAGCGAAATATCACGACGGGGTGTTTTGCTAGGTCTCGCGTTTGAATTGTATGACGCACAAAGGTGGCCATGTCATTGATAACCAGTAGTCTCCGCGCCCTAGATCACGCCGACCCCACGTAACTAACGGGAAAATAACCAGGGTGGGAGGGAGGCACCAGTGTCAGCGGAAAACCAACTTGGGTGAGTTGTTTCGAAGGCGCTTCGGAGTGCATCTCGGCCGAATCCAGTGTCAAAGTGCAGCGAGAAGGGCCCACTCTGCAGGCTCGGACTCAGCCAGGCTCGTCAGCAGGAGCAGTCAGAGGCGAACCGCACTGGAAATCAGCCGAGTTTGGTCTGAATGGCCTGCGATTATCGCGGGAGACATGGCCCTACAGTCAAGCGCTGGAGAAGTGGCTCAGGTGCTCGTCGGGTCCTGGCTTCGTAAGGACCGTTTTGGTTCTCTGGGTCCTTCCTTCGGTTTTCGTCAGGCATTCGCAGATGTGTGTGCAGCTGGAGCTCCAAAGGTGGCCAGGCTCCCTTGCAGCTGCAGGTGTCCTCGCCCTGGCAGCGATGCAACACCACCGCCAGCGAGTCCAGCCCCCGCACGAGTGGCCGACCATGGCCAGTACCACGCCTTTGGCACCACGAGGAATTCCCCGCAGGAGGGGGTGGAGGAGGAGCTTCCACCCTCGGCCGTGAGCGCTGCCGCGCGGCCAACCTTTTGGGGCTCAAGCCCTGGCCACCCTCCTCGCCAGGCGCCCTTGCTACCCTGAGGCTGTCAGGCAGTGCCCTCGGGGGGCCGCCGTTAGAGGGGTTACACCACCCACCCCTTTCCTGGAAGAGGTCGAGCATCGAGGAAGAAGTGGTGATCGAGAATCGGTGCGGCTTCTGGGCGTTTCCGGGGCCCACCTCTCCCTCCGACCTCGGGCCGCGCGTAATGAGGGGGCGACAAATGGGAGGGGCAGCGAGGGCTGCATAAATGGAGCCCTCTAGCAGAAGAGGGCATTTCTAGTGTCCGGAAAGTGCACCTTTCTCCTCTCCCCATTTCTCGCCCCCCCTTAGTTCACGCCCAACGACCCCAGGAGAAGGTGGCCGCCCCTCCTCCCCCAGTGGCGACCCTCAGTGGCACTGCTCCAGGTCTTCGACATGGAGCTGGAGCGGACGGGGTCGGAGGATGGCGCCGCCCTGCCGGTGCATCGGCGATAACCGGTGCGGTTTGGAGCCCGATCATTTCTCTACCCCGCAGTCGCCGATCTTTCGACCCGATCTGCTCGGGCCCCATGCGGGGAGCCTCCAAGACTGCCCAGGGCGGGGCGGCGCTGCGCGGCGGCCGCCCCGCCCTTTTGCTGGTGATGGCGGCCGTCGCCAGGGTCGCGGCCCTGCGCGGCAACTTCGTCCGCGCCCACAAGCCCAAGACGGCGGAGCAGCGGCTGCAGGAGGTGGTGAGGATCGGCTCCTCCTCCTCTTCCTCCTCCTCATCCTCCTCCTCCTCCTCCTCCTCCTCCTCCTCCTCCATTCCGTTTCCTTATAGATAATTTCTCCATGTCGCACCCCGAGGCAAATTGTTAGGGCGGTCTGGGCGTTTCGCCTAAGACTTCCTCACCATTTATGAGCCTGAAACATAAGAACTGGCAACATCTTAACACATGGAGGGCGGGTGGTTTTCAAAATGTGGCTCTCGCCTTAGCGCCGCGCACATTCGTTTTAAACGTTTGCAAGAGTTTCACGGGTTGAGGGCGGGTCGTTTTCAAAATATGGTTCTCGCCTTAGCGCGGCGCACATTCGTTTTAACAAGTTGCAAGAGTTTCACGGATTGAGGGCGGGTCGTTTTAAAAATGTGGTTATCGTTGTAGTGCCGCGCACATTCGTTTTAAACATTCGCAAAAGTTTCACGGATTGAGGGCGATTATTTTTCGATGTGTGGTTCTCGCATTAGCGTCGCACACATTCGTTCTAAAAAATTGTTAGTGTTTCACGGATTCCCATGATCGATGTACCAGAAATGGCATCCTGGAAGGATTCGGGTTTTCAGACGGTTGTCTTCCAACGAGGCAGGTCCCTCTGTGGAAATGAGCTGTTGTAGGGGCCTATGATGAGGGAGCTGGGGAGAGGGTTTGTTCCAACATCGTTGGTGACTCTTGGGATTACGCTGGTCCTCCTCCTCCTCCTCCTCCTCCTCCTCCTCCTCCTCCTCCTCCTCCGCGCCACTTTCCGCGTCGTCGGCGGCGAGCGAGGGGGGGAAGCGAGAAGGAGAAGGCCCTCTCAGAAGGCGGCGGGGCTCCTCAGAAGCCCTCCCGCCTTCTGAGAAGTGTTCTGTGTCTTCGGGGAAGGCTTAGGAAACTTCCCAGAAGGCCAGAGGACTGCCCAGCCTTCTGAGAAAGGCCCTCCCCTTCTCACTTTCACCCCAGGCTCGCGGCCGATTCTCGCCTCGGGGTGCTTGAAAGCAGCTGCGCCTCGCCGAGAGCGTTCCACGGGTGCCCGGCTCGGCCCGAACCACCGCCCGAGGCCAGAGGCCCGAGTTGTGACACGAAAGTTAGGCCTCCTCGCGTCGAGAAAGAGGGCCCTTCTCACTTCCCCCCTGGGCTCGCTGTCAAGCGTCGTGGCTTGCCTTCGGGGGTCCCCCTCGTCGCCGCGGCCGGGCGCGACTCGCAGATCTGCGCGGCCAGGGTGGAGCCCAGGAGCGGTCTGGGGCCGGGGGGCGGAGGGGGGGCGAGTTCGGGGCTCAAGAGACGGGGGTCAATGCAAACGGGGGTCGGCCAGAGCGCCGGATCGTGCAGGATCCTGCAGAGCTAGGGTTGCATTGACCCGGGCTTGGGTGCAGGATCCTGCAGGATCCTGCGAGGCCCGACTGACCCGGGTTTTTATTTGACACGGGTCAGTAGATCCCCGACCAGTGGGGGTGCACCCCAAAATTGATTTTCCCGTTGGATCTACGAGAAATATTAAAAAGCAAAAACAAAAAAAAAATGCTCCCTAGATCTACGGGGTATTCTACGTATGTTTCGAAGATCCAACGGGAAACAAATTCTGGATAAATGAATTTTGTAGACACAAATTTGGCGGAAAGTCATTGTGTAGTCGATCCCCTACTCGAAAGTTGCCTACGTCGTTGACATCGGGCCCGCGGCTGGCGTCGTCGATACTCGTCGATGTATCCAGCCCGTGTGGCTGGCGTCGTCGGGAATTGGGCTCGCGCGTCTGGCATCGATGATTCGCCCCCTGGCTGCCGTGACGGGCGTCGACCCGCGTGGCTGGCATCGGTAAAGTGGCCCGCCGCTAGCATCGTCGATGCATTGAGCTTGCGGCTGCTGGCGTCGTCATTGATTCGACATGCGGCTGGCGCGGTAGATGATTCGGCCCGCACGGTTGGCATCGAATCGGGCATGTGATTGGCGTCGTCGATTAGCTCGGCCCCCAGATGGCGTCAATGGACTCGCGGCCCACGAATTCGATGATTGGGCTCGTCAATGATTGGGCTCGCGTGTCTGGAGTCGATGCTTCGGACAGTGGCTGGCGCCCTCGATGATGTGGCCCGCGGCTGGCGTCGTCGAAACAATTGGCCCGCGGCTGGCGTCGTCCAATAACTTGGCCCGCGGCTGGCGTGGTGACGTCCCTCGACTGGCACCGTCGGCAACTCATCCAGCCGAAGGCACCCCGCTTGACAGACGCCTTTCCCCCTCGTAAGAGGCCTTTTTCGGAAGCCTCTTGCGGAAGTCAGGCAGGCCTGGGACAGAGATGAATCGTTCCAGAGCGTTCCAGAATGCTCCCAGAGCAATCCGGAGCTCCATGGGACGACCGCTATGGGATGAACCGCCGGATCTCAGAGATCCCCGATTTATTGTGAAGGCTTTATGGCCGGTGCCGCCGACCCTCGAAGACGACCCCCATGATGAAAGTCTCAGTTGGAGTTGTTCGGGAAGGCTGGGACCAGACGCCCCGAAGAGTGCCCCTGAAGTCCCATGAGGTTCCCAGGAAACGTATGACGAGGAGCAAAGCTTGGTCAAGCTATCTGCCTACGTATGTGCTTTCCGCAGCCGCGAGTGTTCCTGGCCCGACGTTGTCCCTGTCCCCGCTCCGTCTTGAGGAAACTTCCTCAGACGCCTCTCGCGGGAGCGGAGGGTCCCTGCGCAGAGGCCCCATGCTCGGGGCGTCGCCACGGGTGCCGACCCTGCCCAGCGGCAGCACCCAGCGCTCCCCACGGAGGCCCCGCGGCCTCCAGCGCCCCCCTCGCGAGTGGCTCCGGAGTGGCGCGAGAGGCTTCCGTGCACCCTGGGCCAGGAGAGCCTCGGTGGCAACCCCTGAAACGCGAGGTCCGACGTTGCGAGCAAAGCTACGACATCGCGGCAAAGCACGACGGCCCCATCTTTCTGCGGCATTCGGAAGCGCGTGTCGAGCAGGACCGATCTGTGATGGCCCTTGGGCAGGAACGGAGCGAAAATTCCCGGGGTGGAAAAGTTCCAGCGCCATGATCTCAGGGGACGCGCGCGCCGCCGACCAGGAGCCCAGCCTTCCAGGTCCTGGTCGACACCGTGGTGGTCGCCAACGTCCTCGTGGTCGGCCTGGACCTGGACGCTGGCTCCTCGGCGCCGCTGCTGTTCGAGCTCCTGCGCCACGCCGTCGTCGGCCTCTACGTGGCCGAGATGTGCCTGCGGCTCGCGACAGAGGATCGATCGATCGAGGACCATCGAGCCTCCATGGACCTTCGATCGATCGAGGATTGAAGGATCAAGGATCGATCGAGGATCGAGGATTCTCGATCATCCTCCATGGAAGGGCACGGCGTTCTTCACGCTCTGGCCCCTGGCCGCCGCCCGCCCCATGAACATCTACGACCTCGTGATCGTCACGCTCGCTGTCGTGGACATCTGGATCCTTCAGCGGGTGACGTGGCTGTGGAGCTCCGGGGGGGGGGTCCCGTTGGCGTTGGCGTCATTCCGTGGGAACGTCTGGATCCTGCAGCGGGTGGCATTGCTGTGTAGCTCCAGGGGGGGGGGGTCCCGTGGGCGTTGGCGTTGTTCCGTGGGGGCATCTGAATCCTGCTCGGGAGACGTCACGTTGGCCCCCGCTCCGCGGGACTCCCCCGTGCTAACGGGCGCTGCTAGCGCGCATTGGGCCGGGACGTAGGCGGAGGGCACGAGGGGGAAGCGCTCTGCGCGACTCGGTGCGGCTCGGCAGCGAGGGCCCTGGGGACCAGGGTTGCCACCATCCCGAGGAGGGTCAGCATCGCCCGCTCCGTCCGCCTGCTGCGCATCTGGAGCGTGGCGCAGCACTTCCCCGTGCTTCACGACCTGTGGCTCGTTCTCACAGGCCTGGCGCGCGCGGGCAAAGCGTTGGTGTGGCTGGGGCTGCTGGTGTCCGGGGTCCTGTTTGCGTGCGGCGGCGCCTTCCGGGGGCTGCTCGGAGACCTGGGAGACGTGGAGACTTGCGAGGGTGGTCCCGGTATGGATTGCATAGACAAGCACGAGTTCTTCGGCTCCGTGTCGCGCGCGGCGCTGACGTTGCTGCAGCTGGCCACGCTGGACAATTGGGCGTCGCACGTGGTGCGGCCGCTGATGAACACCAGCCCGGGCCAGGTCCGCGGCGGGCTGGCCAGCCGAAGTGCTGGGAGGCCCAGGAACGGCGAGGCAGACCCCCCAGAGACCAAAAATGAGGGTCTGCCTGGTCGTTGCTGGGCCCCCCGGGCTGCCCTGGAGTGCCAGCTAAGCGCCTGAAGTGGCTGGCTTGGGCGAAAGGTGGATGCACATGAGGCGTTCGAGAAAAAACCTCGTCTTCGCAGAATCGAGACGTTGACATCTCGCCCTGGGCGGAACCCTGCAGAAGCAGGAGGAGGGCGGTTCTGCGGGCAGAAGACAGCTGGAGGTTCGGCAGAAGCTGGCGGAAGTCGACCCCCTGAGCGACATCAGCGTTTACGAAATCACCCAGCGTTTCTGGAATCGCGCATGTTATATTGCCGCGGAACGCTCCCCGCGCGTTCAGAAGCGCTCTGCAGCGGCCGTAGCGCCCGATGCAGCTTCCAGGCCCGCCAGTTCCCTTTAATTCACGACGTGCCTTCCTCCGTGTGTGGATTCGTCCCGCCCCAGTCTTGCTCGGTGCAGGCGCTGTTGCTGGTGGTGTTCGTGTTGGCCACGGCCTACGCGCTGCTGAGCGTGGCCGTGGGCCTGCTGGTGTACTCCACCGTCTCGCTGGCGCGGAGCCACGAGGCGCACGCGGACCACGCGCACAAGCAGGAGGCGCGCGGAGAGGGGAGGGGGGCCACGCTGAGCCGACGCCAAGGGACGCCTGCTCGTCGCCCTGCTCGACAGCTCCTCTGCATCGCCCTCCCCAGACCTCCCCTAGCTGCGAAAAAAAACATCACCTGGGCATCGCTCGGACGTGTGTTTTTTTGATCATCGGCGAGGGATATCGAAGAGCATCTTGGACCATCTTGCGAACGATAGACGCACAAAGTCGAACAATGCACAGGGAACGGACGTCCAAGCGATGGGCAGTCACTGCGGGAGGTCTGTGCCCATGTTCGGCCTTTGGTTGCCCTTGCCAGGCCCTCTCGGGGCCGTCACAAAACTGCTCGGGATGATAAGCTGGTTCTGGTGAAGAGGTCCAGACCTTTGGATGTTCACGTTGTGAACAAAATCGCGGCGTCAGAGGTATGGGTCGTCCTCCTCCGTACCCGTTTTTGTTCAACCCGCTGTGGTTCGAGTTGCCAGGCGGCTCAAGGAGGCCGTCGGGCGACAAGCGTGAGGGGGCGCGCCTGGAAGGCAGCATGGCTGAGACTCGCATCGTGCTCGGGTTTGCGTTCCTGGGTCGCCGAGGCGGACATCTTCTCGCACGCGTGGTCCCAAACGGTGGTGGACTTGCTGCTGGGCGAGGGGGTCCACAGCCGCTCCTGCCAGAACGGTGGCCGCCAGTCCGCGAGAAGTGGGAAGCGCCGCTGGAGAGCGTGGCGGCAGAGCAGCGGCGGCGACCAGAGTTGCGGCGGCTGGCGCGGCAGACTGCCCTCGCGGAGCCGCCGCCCAAGAAACGACCGCGGGGCAAGGCTGCCCCGTGCAGCGTTCCGCAGCCGATGGGCCAAGGCCACTGCATCGAGCAGGGCTGCGATGTGCAAAAACCTCGCGCGAGGTCGAAGAAGGCCGCTGAACAGTTGTTCAGTCAGCGGCCGCACGAGGATCAGACGGCGGTCGAGCAGCCGCGGGGCGCGCCAGAGCACAGCGAGGCGCAGGGAAGAGGGAACGCGCGAAGCGGGGGAGGCAGGAAAGGCCGAAAGGGCGAGGGAGCCACATTCAGGCAATGTAAGTCCTCGTGTGCGTGCCGAGGTATAAGTTATTGAAGTGCGAGGCGAGCATGAGGGTGGGGGCCGAGCCGCTGAACAAGAAGCAGGCCAAGAAGCGAGCCTGGGCGGCGGCGAAGAGGGCTGTGAAGCTGCTGACCGCGAAAGCGGCACAGAAGCAGAGGACCTGCTGCGCGGCCAGTAACATCGCGAAGACGGCCTTGTCGCAGGAAGCGGCGATGTACACCCCCCCACACCAGATGCCCCCATGCTGGAGGCTGCGCTTGGTCCGGGCAACACCAGACTGTCGACGGCTCCGAGGCGCCGGCCACCGAGAGGCATAACATCTGCGAAGTGGTGGCCTGGTCTACAGCGGGATGGCAGAGTTGCAGGACGGTCTGGTACGCTGTCAGGGGGGCCCAGTCGGAGGGTTGGCCCACGTCGGCCCTGGCGCAGCTAGCTGTCGAGTTGGCGGCGGCGTTCGCTTCGGCTGCGGCGGCAGCGCGAGACGCGAGCTGGGAGAGGTGGCGGGGCAGGCGCGCGGCCACTCGAGGGGGAGTGCTGCGGCCCATGCCGCTCCGGATGTGGTGGCTGCGATTTCCCAGGCCGGCTAGCCCCCGTCTAGGGGGCGTCCAAGAGGGAGGGCTCGCAGGTGAAAGCCAAAAGCACGTGCGCGGCCAGGGGGCGCCGAGGGACCGCAGTGAAATGAGAAGGGGGGACATGACATGCGGGCAGATATCGTGGCCCCGGCCATGAGATGCACCCCTCCCTGGTCATCCCACCCCCCTCGTGGACGGCCCCGACCGTCGGGCTCCTGGCGGGCCCGGGGGGGTGATGGAGCCTCCTGCAAAGTCGCTTGAGGGGAGCGCGTGCTGACCGCCGAGGTGCTGTGGCAGGGGTGCGGCTGCCCCATGCGCTATCGCGGCCAGCGCGGTTTCGCCGGGTTCGGCGCGGTCACCTCGACTTCCAGGAGTCTCTGCGGTTGCCACTCGCGGGGCCTGATCATCATCGCCTTCTTCTGCCTCCTCATCCCTCTCTTCCTTTCATCCTCCTCCCCCCGATCCTCCGCAAAAGGGGGCCTGCACGCAGTTCTCGTGCGGGGTGGTCCGCCGCGAGGGCGGAGCTCGGAGGCTCCAGCCACAGCGCGCTTCTTGGAGACCACCCTCCGAGGGCTGGATGTCCTGGCTGGACTCTGGACTCCTCTCTGTCATCCTCCTCGTCTGCCTCATTCAGCTCCGCCTCCGCCTCCTCCTGCCCCTCGGTCGTCATTTTTTTGTCCTCCACGACCCCCCCCCCCCGCTCTTACTCCTCTGCTGGGTAAGAACCCGACGCGACCCCGCTTTGGGGAACGTTTTCTGGGGCGCATTGCTTGGCGTTGCTTGGCATTGTGTTGAGCTGCTTGGCGTTGTTTGGCTGCTTGGCGTTGCTTGGCATTGCTTGTTATTGCTTTGCAAAGCCGGGGGACACGAAGAACAAGATTGGGGAGCCCAAGGGATCCAAGCAAGCAGCAGATCAGGGAACCCGGGGAACCCGAGGAACAAGAACCGAGAACCCGAGGAGCCCAAGCAAGGAACAAGATTGGAACCCAAGGAGCCCGAGCAGGAAACACGATTGGGAAACCCGAGGAATAAAACCAGGGAGCCCGAAGAAGGAAGGCAAAGAACAGGACCAGGGAACTTGTAACTTGAGGCTCGTGTAAGTAAACAAAACCAGCGAACCCCAGGGAAGGCCCTCGTAAGAAAACAAATCCATGGAACCGCTGGGAATGCCGGCGACGACCCAGCCAAGCAACCACCCTTTTCTTCACAAATAAGTAAGGAATCCTTTGGCAAAGCCTGGTGGGGGAATCGTCAAGCAACACATAAGTACGAACTATTCGTCCTCGTTGGTTTCCTGTTGATCGTCCGTCCTCGCCCGCCACCAGGCACAGATGCACATCAAGTTCATGGTCAAGTACCTCAACACCAGCCTTTTGATAGCGGACCGCAGAACACTCGACCTAAAGGAGTTGAGCGACGCCATGTCCAACCCGAAGTTCTTTGAAGCCTTCAAGGAGGGAGGGAGGGAGGGAGGAAAGATGGATGGAGGAGAGGCAAAGCAGAGTGCAGGGAGGGAAGAGGGAGGAGAGAGGCAAGGAGGGGGAAACGAGGGAGTGAGGGGCAAGCAAGGCGACGAACACCACGTCTTTGAGTGGCGCGTCCAGAGCGAGTTTCATGGCGCTGGCCAGCAGGACGCAGCTGAGTTCCACGACGTTGAGCAGCACGGCGAGAGCTGGCAGCATCAGCCTCCGGTCCGGAATGGAGTCATGCAGTGCGACGAGCACCACGTCTTTGAGCAGCCCGCTTGGGACCAGCAGCAAGACGCCGCGCCGTACGACGTAGTCCAGCACTACGACGCTGAGCAGCAAAGTGGGAACCAGCATCACCTGGGTCAGATCCACGAGCGAGAAAAGCAGTGCGACGAACACCGCGACTTTCAGCCGCACGCTCGGGACGTGCAGCACGATGCCGAGCTGCACGACGCGGTCGAGCTTCAGGACGTTGAGCACCATGACGGGAACCAGCAGCAGCGCGAAGAGCACCAACGTCTCTGAGTTGGGCGTCCGGGACCAGCAGCACGCTGAGCACTTCTGCGAAGTTGGGAGACGCCACGTCGAGCAGTATGACGAAAACCAGCATCATCAGCTCTGAGTCCACGAGGAAGAGGCAGCGCCATGCCCGCCAAGTCTTTGAGCAGCACGCCCAGGATCCGCAGTACGTACGACTGAACAGCACAACGGAGTCGATCCCCACGACGATGGGCAGCTCGGCGAGCACCAGCACCCTCCACCTCAGGTCCGCGATCGAGACAAGCGGTGCGGCGAGCACCACGACGTTGGGCAGCACGACGGGCACAGGTAGCATCCGCCTCAGGTCCACGATTGTGACAAGCACTGCGTTGAGCACACCGTCTTAGAAGAGCGCGTCCAGGACCTGCAGCATGACGCTGAGGAGCACGACGAAGTCGCGCACCATGACGTTGAGCAGCACCACGTAAGCTAGCAGCATCAGGCTCTGGTCCACGAGCGCGACCAGCAGTTCGATGAACACGTCTTTGAGCAGCGCGTCCAGGACCAGCAGCACGGCGCTGAGCAGCACGGCGAGCACCACGTCTTTCCGCGGCATTTATCTTGCGTTCAGCTCCTCGTGCGACAGTGGGAGGGCGGGCGCACAAGCACAGGGACGTCAGGAGCATGATGTGTACCAGCAAGACCTCGTTCGGCATGGACAGGCCTCCACCAGAGGGGCACGCGCCAGCAGCGCACGATCGCACGTGGCGCACATATAAAAGCTAAGCGGTTGAACTCTGCAATCTGCGCCACATGCGATCGAGCGCTGCTGGCGGCCACCCGCAGGACAGCTCACCGAGCCTGACCAGGCATGATTGGCTACCGTAGCCAGGGCCCTA